TGCTACAGCAGGATGTAGCATCTTCACATTTTTGACTAAGACAAATACATTTGTCCTGATAAGCAAAACCTCTGTTTTCAAATTTTGTAAGACCAGGGACAAATTAGTTGGCTAGGGGGCGCTACTAACCCCCTCACATTCCAGTCAACCAAACAGGACTCCTGCACTGGGATATTACAAAGATTTGCTGAGGGGTGGGAAACACAAATCTGTTCCAGAATATGCACCATGTTATATAAAGTAAAAATATTAATGATTTTTAAACTACATTTTGACAGAGTGTTCTTGTACAAGATCTCAACAGGCAAAATACATGAGCCACCTTACAAAGTATACTCAAACATTACAGTGTTATTGCCCCAGAGACAACTTTCCTGCTTCCTGCTTGTGACCCCTCACTAGACAGTAATGTCTATTTGAGACCCCTCTGTATAGGCTGCTTATAAATGACATGTAAGCGCTACAGTTTAGTTAACGGCTGTGAAGAGTGAAGATGTAAATCTATCCAGTATTTCACACAAAAAGCCTAGTAAGAGAAAATTATGAAAATATAAAATTAGTTTTGTGTAGCAGTATTCAGCTTCCAGGGGCGGGTTTCACCAAAGTGATTTGCAAGCACTGTTTATAGACAGCTTACAAAGTGGCAGCATCCCATTTCACAAACAACTGGCACTTAAACATTGCAGATAAAATCATCTTGCAGCCCCTCATGAGGTTTTGAGTCTCATATTCAAACAAAATTTGTGATAAACTTCATAGTTGTCTCTCCCATCAAATATTGAGAAATCGCCCTATGGTCTAATATTTGGATCCGCTGATGTATGATGTAAAAGGACGATCTCTGATTGTTAAATGGGGTTCTCTAGCAGAATAAAGAACATATTAAGTTGCTTCTGCTAAAGGGGGTATCTGTAGACTGTACTGAAATTTATACAACTTGAGATAAAGGTATGCCAGCATATCAAAAACCCCAACAGGTACCCACAGTGGTGGAAAGCAACTTAGTACATTTACTCAAATACTGTTAGGTAGACTGACAATTTTGAGGTACTTCCCAGTAGTTGGAGTTGTTTTAACATTAAAAGTTGTTTTAACATTAAAAGAACATTGAAACAACGTTTAAGTTCTAATAAATCAACATTGAAATTTCGTAAAGATCTATTTCAATATTGAAACGATTTTGAAAAAATGATTAAAGTTTATGAAACAACATTGAGCAATCAATATTGATTTATCTTTCAAAATCAAAACATAAATCAACAGTGATTCGACCATGGTGTATGACGTTGATTCAGCAGTGAAACATTGCAATGCCAGCTAGGTTGTACTTTATATGGATATTTCTATTTCTTATGCTACTTCATACTTCTGTCAGTACTCTACTATAATTCAAAGGCAAATATTATATGCCACTACATTACTTTGATAACTTTTCATTTCTACACTACAAAAAAACAAGTTAATTTCACTTACTATTTTAAAGTTGGAACAACTTCCCTAAATTAAGTAAATACAACTAAATGTAATAAATAATTATATTTACTTACCATTTTGAAGGAAATTTGTTTTCTAGATTTTTTTTAATAAGATCAACTTGTCAAATTTCACAGTTTTGTTTAGATTCAGATCAACAATACAAAATATTTTAAATAATGTAATACATTTTGATATTACTATCTCACTATGATCTTGTGATATTTAGGGTGAACTATGCAGGATTTTCCTAAAAAAAAACAATGTTTGACCCATACAGAAGTAAACCCTCTGTCATCACTTATGACCCACTAAAATGTGTGCAGTGGTGTATTTTTCTGCAGAGACTCCGCCCTCTGCAATGTTTTCTCATTTTCTGTATTCAGGACATTTATGGGCGTGTACCTCAGGTGAGGTCAGGGTTTTATGAAAAGGTATAGCGACCAGGTGCGACACCATAGGCAGTAGTCATCCCAGAGACACAGTGCATAAAAACTCCAGGTGGAATCCCGGATGAGAATGAAACTTGGGATTGGCTTTTATTTTCACTTTTGCTGGTGGGCCTGTTTACAAACAATAACCACAATCCTGCATAGTATAGTTTGAAAGTGATGTAGCATACTCTGAAGGCATTGATAAATCCAATACTATACATTATTCAGAACTGGGTTATTCTGCAAACAGAATCATGAGGGCTACTTTTGGGGAGAGCTGAAAGATAATAAAATGATTTCTCTCCTTTAAAGTAAAAATGTAAAGTTAGACTTCTGAGGCAAGATGACCCCCCCCCCAGAAAGGACACAAACCCCCGGCATACACAATTATCTGTATTTGTGTCGTGTCTGTATCTGTTTAACCAACAAAACTAGATGTATCTGTATCTGTACTTGAAATGGGTGGAGTTGATGTCAGACGTGGATGACGTTTAAATTGGAAGTGAGTGTGACGTAATCTGAAGTTGTTATTTTAAGCCTGAAATTGATATGGGTTGATCAGAAGTTGGTGTATTTATTATTTATTACAAAACTATTTACAGATCAATCCCAGAGGATTTCCCTTTATCACGATATTGACACAGATGTTGACACATTTTACATTATCTGTACTGGACTGCCCCAATAGTGGTACAGGATAATAATAATAATAATAATAATAATAATGACTTCATTGCACAGTTCATACAGCAAGTGCAATTCTAAGTGCTTTCCATAATAAAATGAGAAAATACACATAAAAAACGGGATAAGATAGAGTAAGTAAGATTCGATCACACACTCAAACACACAAAAAAAATACAAATTAGGTTTGATACCAATTAATGAAATAAAAGATACAAAAATGCAAGTCTAAAAAGATAAGTTTTTTAGATGTCATTTGAAGCTGTTTACTGAATCAAAGAGTCTGACATCCTCTGGAAGGCAGTTCCAGAGATGAGGGCATATGACACTGAATGCAGCGTCACTGTACTTTTTAGTTCTACTCTGGGGGACATTTAGTAGACCAGACATGGAGGATCTTAGGGATCTGGAGGGAATGTATTTGACCAGGAGCCAGTCTATTAAGAGATTTAAAATCTAAAAGCAAAATTTTAAAATGTATTCCTAAATGGACAGGAAGCCAATGAAGCGTCTTTAAAACCAGAGTATTATAAATGACTATTAAATTCCTTTTCTTTTGATCCAATAATTAGAACCTTAGTTTTGTCCCTGTTGAGTTGCAAGAAATTTTCGGACATCCACGTACTAATTTTGTCAATACAGCATGACAGTTTTTCAACTGCGCTTGTATCATCTGAAGACAATGAGATGTACAGTTGAGTATCATCAGCATAGGCGTGGAAATCAGTTTCATGCTTTCTAATGATATTTCCCAGTGGCAGCATGTACAGATAAAAAAGAATGGACCCACAGGGTCATCAAGGTTGTGTCTTCTTGGGGACAAAACAGTGGTGCCACAGTTAAGTAAATCTGCATTCAAAGTATTTAACTGGCTTAAATACCTGTGCTCGGATGATTCTTAGATGCTGGAAAGAACCTCTGACTCCCACATTGAAAATATGGAAGGAGGGGAATAATTGCATGTGAAAAGATGCTTGGAAACTGAACTGCAAAAATGACATGGTGAAAGAACAACAGCCTTAGTGGATATATGGACACTATATATATATATACACATGGACTTGACCTTGACAAGACCATGAAGGTGTAATACAATAATATGCCATTATTGTCATGCACTACTACCCACCAAGTTCTTGTAATGGAATAATGACCATTATTGTGTTATTGTATTTGGCTACCTGCCTGTTTTTTTTTTTTACTTACTTTGTAATTTTATTTCATTTTGTTAGGTTGTGTTTCTCTTGTTTATGTTATGATTATTACTGACAAAACCAATAAAACTTCAAATTCCAAAAAAACAACTAAAAAAACTTTGTTCTTCCCACAATTTTTTTTATGCAAATATTTTTTTTACTTTTACAGTCATAAAATTTTAATGCATGGCTTTTATTTGTAGCCAAACAGAGTATTTCTACACTGTGGTGTTGCAGCTGACTAATTGATGGGAACAGGCTGGTTATTCCACCACTGCTTGGAGACACTCCGTTTCTAGTAGCCTAACCTGGGGTTTTTAGGTACCTTGCTGGGGAAAACACATCTTAAAATAAAAACCTGAGGGAAAGGCTAGAAGGCTTCTAGACAATCCAGTCACTGTTGGGATTTTGGTTTGATTTATTTAGTTAGACAGCTTGTTTTGAGCTCAGGGGCTTCTTTCCCTGGGTAGTAGGTATCTTGCCCCAATAGTTGACAGGATTTTCATTTTTGTGCTAACAACGGACTTGATTACTCTACCAGTTTATGTCTCCTAACGTTGTGGTAGTTTATGCATCATCATCCTACACATGCTGAAATCATATCCATTTTTTTTTTTTAATTTAACATTACGGTTAATTTTCTTGGCTCTTAAGAGGGGCATCTTCCCCCAAATTTTGATACAAATATTTTAGTACTTTTACTGCAGTAAAATTTGAATGCATGGCGTTCATATGTAGCTGACAGAGTATTTCTACACTGTGGTGTTGCAGCTGACTAAAAGGAAAGGCTAGAAGACTTCTAGATGATCCATTAATGAGTCAGGGTTGTTAATTTGATTTGATTTATGTAGTTAGATAGCTTGTTTTGAGCTTGAGGGACCTCTTTCCCTAGGTAGTAGGCATCTTGCTCCAATAGTTGACAAGATTTTCATTTTTGTGCTATGACAGAATTGGTTTCTTTACCAGTTTATGTCTCCTAACAGTGTGGTAGTTTATGCATCATCATCACCCTGCACATGCTGAAATCATATCCATTTTTTTTCATTTTACAGTGTATTTACTTTGTTCTTCCTCCAAATGTTGATGCAAATATCTTAGTACTTTTACTTCAGTAAAATTTGAATGCATGGCTTTCAGTTGTGGCCAAACATAATATTTCTACACTGTGGTGTCACAGCTGATTTAAAGATTGGAACAGGCTGGTTATTCCAGCACTGTTTAGAGACACCCATTTCGGATGTGCGTTTCCTTCTCAGAAACCCTACCTGGGGTGTAAGTGGGAATCCCTGGTCCCGGATCCACTCCGGCTTTTCAGTCCTGCTCCCGGCCACCTTTATCCGAGGCACTATGTGTTTCTGTGTGAGAGAAGCCGACTCTTGTTTACAGCAGAGATTCCACGGCGGAGCGGAGACCCACAGCCTGCGTTGACCGAGGGCGAACCGTAGAATTCCACAGCCTCCGGAAATACACGCAACGGTAGTTTTTGTTTCCTGTCTTTTATGAGGATTAAAAGGCAAAAAACACTAAACACGCGTAAAGGGCAGGTCCTTGTGGACACATTCTCCCTCCCTCCCCGGCCGAGGTCGTCTAGCTGGAGAGCTGGAGAGCCCCATTCTCCTCTTGCGTGGCACAAGTCTGGTATTTTCTTTCAGCTGCAAATCCGACTGACGGCAGAGATAAGTCCGACCCGAGGAGCTGGAAAATTGGTTTAAAAAGCGACTTGTCACCGCGGGCCAGGACTGCTTGGTGGGGATCGAGAGCCTGTGCTGGTTGAATGGCATAATCAAAAAAGGTTTTTCATTCATTTTTCAACCTCGCAGCCACCACCCCTGTGAATCTGGACGTGTTTTCTGGCCCCACTCCTCCTCCTCATACACAGTCATTCACACAGGGGGATTCTTGCGAGCGACACTGGCGTTAATTTATCATGGTGGCAAAGGCTTCTTCCACTAACATTTAGTCTGGTATCTTTTATTTTTTTAATTCTCCTACTACCAGGCCTGATCGCACTGTACGCGCACTGCTGTTTTCAAGAGATGGAGACTGAAGATGGGGATTACCATCATTTATCCAGTAAAATCACTGGCTTGTGTGCCATACCAGCCGACGTCAAAGTATCTTGTGATTGGCAAAAATAGCAGACTGTTTTAGTATTTTTTTCTTCTTCAAAGGAATTCCCTGTTATAAGGGTTTGTGCACAGTTATTTATATTTTTTAGAGCAAACCCTGGGAGCCACGCATTTGCAGGCTACATAGAGTAGCCTTTTTAAGGCTACAGACACATTTATTTTTCCTCTTTTTTCATCTTATTTTTTTCGGAGCCGGTGTGCACAACCTTTTATTTTTTACTTTGAATTTTATTTTATTTTTTGAAGAGGTGAATAATGCTAAGGAACATGAGATCTGACACACGGATGGGTAGCCCGACCTTGTATTGGGGTCTGATGCTGTATGTCTCCACTATCTGCATCTGGTCCACACATGCAGAGAGTAAGTATTTTTATTATTTTATTTGAATATTTTATTAAAGTTTATTAGGTGAAAGTGGGTTGGCCTTGATGCGCAATGTAGCCTACCTTTTGTATCCCAGTTTAACCTCTTATTAATCAGTCTTTTGCTGACTGATGCCATGCGTAATGTGTGAAAATGTATGAAATGTGTTTAATAAAAAGGAAATAAAGGGACTATACTCTTATCGCAGGATCTAGTCCCTCCACAGTGAGCATATAGCTCACCGACGTTCGCCTTTTACTTACATATTAGCAGAGGACCATGTGGTATAGCTGCCCGTCAGTAGGTGAACACGTTAAGGCACAAAATGTGCGTTATTGTGCGCAATATCACCTCATGTGATGAAGCGGTTTGGTTTATGTAGAAACAGGCACAGCAACCAGGCACACGTCGGCGTAATCTTCACGTTAGACATCCAGAGAGCAGAGGATGAATCCAGGGACCAGAGCTGAAGGTTACTACGACCATGTGGCCATTTTGCATTTCGTGGTGTGGCGTTGCTGCGCATGAAAAACCTAAATCAGACACCAACCTTTGCTTCCAGCTCAACTGACACAAACAAAATATCATAATTAAGCCGACTGTCTTCATAAAGAGTCATCATGATGATAAAAACAGTCGGAGGTAATCATGTTTTATCTCCATACCCTATTCTAAGTGAACTAAATAGCTGCTCTGTATATGCTATGGGCCTATGTGGTGTTAATTAATTCAAGCCTTTACATACAAGAGCACCTGAGTTCAGGCTGTTTCTAATCCACTCTTTACCCACATGCCTTCACACTGAGGGAACAACAGAGATGATAGATGGTTATTAAACATGTAGAACTTTAATTTTAGTCTTGGAACAATGCTTAAAATTAGTACAAACCCATTAAAATCACTGATGACTATGTGAACTTGGGCTTTCATTTTGAGTGCTTCATGTTTTTAGTCACCAATCAGACTTTTAATAATCATTCCTCATGAATTTTAGGCACCTTTTACATCTTTAACTCACTTGTAAGTCATGCAAAATGTCTCGAGCGTCTATTTCAGGCTGTTATTCCACTGTTTTAGTTTGTTTTTTAACATTTATAATGCGTTCAGAAATGCTTCAGCGAGCATATTTTGCATTTTCTTATCTAATCTTAAAGCAAACCAATCTAATGCTCTGTATATAGCAGCTGGAGTCAAGGCTGCCTTTTTTGCCAATGTTATAATAGAACAACTGGGATTTAATGAGGGTCAGTGAGGGCTGCTTCTCTTTTCAGTGCTCAGTGTATATATATACAGCCTTTTGAATGGTTCTCTGTAACTGCACGGTGATGTTACACTGATAGGCTTTTCAGTGGGGTCTTATGTTGGGTCAAGATAATGCGTGATCTGTCTGGAAAAATCTTTAAGAATAAAGTGACTGGATTATAGAGATGATTATGGCAGTTCAGGTGTTTTGTCCATGAAGTTAATATTTATCATTAAGTCATCTTTATAGCGGAAACGGGGATGTGTGTGTGGTAACTTAAAAGAAGTTAGTTTTAGAGTCATGATCCTTTTGAAGCATGACACATTGAGACAGACGTTTATCCTTTCCTTGGTCAACAGCAAACTAAAAGTCCTCTCCAGGTGCATCTCCCCACCATGAGCACATATATTGTCTGGTTGGCATAACATGATTTGTGTGTGTTTGAGTATTACATCACCTCTGCATTACTTTGTCTGTTTCCTGAGAGGATATGTGGGATGATGGAGACGATTTGACATGGGAAGGAGATGTGTAGGCTGACCTCTATTAGCATTCAAATAGAAGAAAAAACTTTTTTCTGTTCCTATTGACCAGTGGTCCAAGCACAGCCATGTGGGGGTGTGTTTCTGTGCACCCTCCTGAGCCAGCGAGACACCCATGAACGCAGCAGGGGGCTGGGAGACAAGTGGTTGCTCTCAGATCTTGGCGCTCGTGGTGTATAATACATCAGGCCTTCCAGAACAAAGCGCTCAGAGATAAAGAAAATATTGAATATCAAGACAAGGATGGGGTCTTAGGGATGATGTTTACTTCACTGGGCTGCAGAGGGTCAAAATTTCCAGCCTCTATCATCACTTAGTGGAAAATCACCGATATCCAAGAGCTCCATTAGGGGTTGAAAACTTTTTCTCTCTCTCTCTCTCTCTCTCTCTGTTCATTTTGATAATCTGTCCACACCAATAAAATGTAATTAAGATCCCTTTTAACTCTCACCACAGTAAACTTTCCATGCCATGGCTTCCAAGTATGCAGCAAACAAGTCTCCAAAAGAGGGTGAGCACGCATGAGGGAGATAGACGCTTGGTGTTTGGAAATAGAATGTGCAAAAATACACTTGCAAGAGAAACAGACTTGGTTTTGTTGATTGGAAGAGTGGAGAGTTTGTGAACAGTTTTATTGGCTTTTACTGTTCACACGAAGCAGTCTCCTGTATAGACCGTTGCGCTTTACTTCATCACTTGGCACCACTACTATTAGGGTTATAAATAGACATGTCACCAACAACATTGGCACATTGGTTGTGTGAGTACAGGCACCCTCTGTCCCGCACCATGAGGGCACACCAGTGTTCTTGTTCAGTTATTTATGAAGGGACATGTTGCTCCGGAAAACTTGAATGGCAGCATAAATAATCAAACGTCAGCAAGCATTGTGTCTGACAGGCACCCCTCCTACCTCTCCCTTTGGGGTATGGCATGTTGCAGTACAGCTCTCCTTGTCGTGACGGGGCAAGAGGCTTATATATGACTGCTGTCACTCTACTCCAAGGTGCCCCACTCCATCTTGTGACCGGGGCTACACGGTTACACACACTCCCCCCACCCCTCCACCAGGCACTCCCTTCCCCCAGACTGGATGCAGGAATGCCTTGTCTCACCCCCGGCGAGAAAGTGTAGTGAGTGTTCGTAGCCCTATGGTGTGCGTACGAGTGTGTTTGTGCGCATGCTTGCGAGTGTATTGTGCAGCTCTGTGTGTGTGTGAGTGTACTGCAGCAGGACTCAGCGTGACAGCCTGAGTCAGTGGCGTGCCCCTGTGTAAGGATGTGAAAGTGTGTCACTGGGCTAGTTTGTGAGAGTGCAGTCAAATGCTGTCCTGCAGCTCCTCCAGGCTGCCAGCTGAGGTTTACAATGCTTAATTAAACACTTTATTTCAAGTGGCCCGTCATTGGATTTGCTCAAACGCAGTCTCTGGCCAACTGCACATACATCATCATGGGCTGCCGGTTTAATGGCCCGTGGAGTATTGTACAATTTGTGAGATGATTGCAAATGTTAGCTCTTCTAATGGATGGGGCTTGCTGTATCAGTTGAAAGCTGTTCATCAAGGACTGAATGTGGATCTGTCCCGAGTGGAGAATTCATCAGCGGGAGATTATTCTCAGAGGTGTTTTCAGAACCTTAGCGAGAAACCTTTTCATTCGTGTTAATTGTTCGGCCATCGCTTGGTTATTTGTGATTGTCATAATGAAGAATAAAGATGGCTGTAAACACTGAGGTGCAACATGTATGTGTGTGATGTGAGAGCGCAGGTGCATGAAATAAAGCAGAGAACTGCAGCATGCCGTTAGGTCTATACGCTCACATTCAATCGAATGTGAAGATCACAAACGGTGTTGTAGAACACCTTAAATTATGCTTGATTTTTCACTTCACTTTGTTTTCTTTTATTAATTTCATTCATGCACCAGAGCGGCCTTGGACTGAACCTGATAGACACTTGTGTTTCTTTCACAAAAAGGGAAAAATATTTTTGGTGTAACTCCAGAAAAGGAATGTTTGCTACAACATATTAATGAAAGCAATAAATTCATCACCATTTCAATTAAAAGTTAAGGTTTAGGGGGGGGTTTAGTGGCATCTAACGTGAGGATTGCAGATCGCAACTGTCTGAAACTTCTACCGGAATTCCTTCAGTGTCCATTGTTCAGTTATTACCGGGAGCCAAATAATCTATAAAGTTCGCTTCCTCTCCAGAACAAATGTAGCCAGTGATTTAAACAGCTAAAACACTGAATGAACCCTTTTTACTTTGTAAAATCAGTGTTTTTCCATTGCTGTTTATTGTGAAGGGGCTGCAAAATATGGTGGTTGACGCAAAAACACTGATTGCCCTATCTAGAGGCAGCATTTGGTTTGTTCGTTCTGGGCTACTGTAGAAACATGGCAAACTCTGTAGATGTGTACCCACTCCCTGTGTAGATATAAACAGCTCATTCTAAGGCAACGATAACAACAACAATTATTTTTTTCAGGTGATAATGCACTAAAGAAAATTATATATCCATTTCCACTAACACCAATTCCTCCCTAAATCCTACACACTGGACCTTTAAATTCTAATAAAGTCCCTTATTTTGTACATTTTCTGTCAGCTTCTGCACATCCTCACAGACATTAACTCTTAATAAAATCACTGCAATTTTACTATAATCGAACGTTAAATTAAATTTGGTTGTTGATCGCGATCAGGTCATAGTGAGTGTGTAAACACAGAGTGCGTTGTCTCCTGCCCTCGCCCCTCACTTTGGGAGAGGGGGAGTCTTTTTGTGTGAGAGTTGTTATGATGGAGAGTGTAGTGTTACTGTTTGGGGTTTTGGGGAAATCTGAGCCACAGTGTTTGAAGTAAGGTCCACTGAGGGGAAGTGGCCCACCAGACCGCTGGTCAGATGACTTCCAGTATGCTGGGGATTAGGGCCAGTTGATGTGGCAGGTGTGAGGGGATATGACCGCACAGTGACCAGCTCCCTCACTGCATGAGCTAAAAGTGGATTTTAGTGGGAAAACGTTGCTGTCGATTATGGTCCAGCGGAGTTGATTCTTCGCTGTGGAACATCTGTGTATGCCATGTATGCATCTCTATATGCTCCTCTAATAAGGAAAAGCAGATGCTTTGTGATTGCCTGTGAACTAGAAGTAATTGTTTAATTAAAAATCAAATCAAGTTTAATAAAAATGAAATCAATCTATATGTTTTG